TTAATGTGGGCTCGGCACAGAACAAGAACTCCGCCCTACTCGTCGAATGCTAACAGACGAGCTCTGCCCTACTCGTCGACTACTAACAGACGACGAAATAAAAAAAATCTACATCCATAAGCCACTTATTCCTATTTGGCGGGATCGAAAATGTCCAAATGCTAGATTTGGCGGGATTCCATAAGCACAAATATACGCTTTTTTCGGTTATTGGGCGGAGTTCGGGTCGGGTCACGCATTCTGCTTATTTCTTTTCACTGAGGGCCCACCATTACACGTGTTTATTTTTCATTTGCTACCGCATGCAGAGAACATGCGGTGGTCGGACCGAATAATTTTTCCAAAATAGAGGGGAAAGTTTTGTATGGGGCTTTTACATACATACAGCCATAATTTTATTTATTTACACATCTAGCTCCTCAATTTTAATTTTACATTTCTCATTTATCACACCCAACTCTTTCAAACTGGTAGATCGGGAATGTGCCAACATTAATCTCGATGAGACCTATTTGTTAAGAAGGTAGAAAAACATTAATCCAGTAGAAAATAGATTCACTTATCTGACCAGACGGAGAGGTCCGAACCAAAGCCAAGACTAAAGCCGACGGTGCAGCCATCTGGGCCAGAGTCAACAAGAATAAAATCGTCCAAATGGTCTGCGCCCGAACATCTAGAACTAGGACAGAGCATTGACATGCAAGTAAACCATCATAAGAAGTCTTAATGAAACCGACAATCAATCTTTCAGCAACTCCTCAGTACTATCAACCATCCAACGGACACTCCATAAACTCCTTATGAAAGATTAAGAGTTAACCATGCCACAAGAAGTCTAAATCATCCATCTGATTTTTTATGTTGGGTGGTGAGCTACCTATTGGGCTACTCTGATTCATCATTGCCTGGATGACTTGACATCACTCAGTCAACCAGAGCTACTCACTAGGGATCGAAGGTCGACAATCATACTAAATCAGCTGATTAACGAAGTCTAATCAAGCCACTCCTGTCAACATGAAGTCCATTTATGGCCAACCAGAAATCTTGACTCAACATAGTCGAACGAGTAGACCTTACCAAACAGAGGCTCACCTAGCTCAGCCGATTGAGTCATAAGGTAGCCGAGTTATGAGACTTGAAATATCTTGCAACACCCATATTAATGTATGGGCGAACATGTAATTTCACATATTGTACACTTCTCCCTCTCTTACTCTTTTCTCTCTCTCTCTCTCTCATCTTATGCTCTTATTCTTGAGATGTGATTTACAGACATGCCTAGATACATAGTTATTGACTGATATGAATGCAAATTTTTCCAAACATCTTCTCAAGGAATAAATAAAAGCATATGGTGGTGAACTTTTTAAATCAAATTTATAAATATTTTTTTAGAGGATCTACATCCATGTAATACAATTCTTATATATTTATATATCCAATAACTAAATTTTTATATTTATTTTTATCCCACCAGCTTTTTATCATTGCTTTGTAAGTAATAATAAAATTAATTTTTGCAAAATAAAACATATGCGTATGTACTAATGTGATTATGATAAATGTTATATATATATATATATATATATATATATATATATATATATATATACACATATGTAAATACATAAGGATTGTGTGGTATATGTAAATGCCCCCCATTTAATTTTATTTTAACTCAAGGCGACCCCCTCGATTATACAAATTTCATTGATGAATCATAAGTTAACTAAAGTTATTATATTATTTTCTAAAATGTATTTTCTTTCTACATATAGCTTGCCCATATTAAAAAAATATATATGTATATATAGATTTTTTTAGTATATTTATTTTTTAATTTTATTTTTCCATGTTTTTGAGTGAATTTAGTCTTAATCTAGATGACATTTGAAACTCCCCTACAAAATATTTTAAAACTTACTTAAATTATATTTAAAATTAATTAGATTTATTTAAAATATAAAAATATAAAGAAATCCACTAACCAATATATTTTAAAATAAAAAATAAAAAATGATCCCAAAAACACTTTAAACCATGAAAATAACTAATAATAACAAGAACATAGACAAGAAAAATGTTATGTGTCGCTCACCGAGACTCTTTTGTTGACAGAGTTTGTAAGACCCCTGAGGTCACGGGTTCAATCTCCCATATATGTAAAATGAAATTCTTAGGAATATGAAATTGATCCGGAGGCTCGTTTAACATGCTCTCGGAATATATATATATATGTATATATACAATAAAATGTTGTACAATAAATAGCGCGGCCCTCCCATCATTTTCCATTAATGACACAACACATGTGCCTTATGAAAATCATTATATCATTATCATACTTTTAATACCCATTTTTATATGCATAAAGTTGTTAACATTCATCATATTTGTTGTGAGAAATGCACGTGACTCCTAATATTATTATAATCAGCATTTATTACCAGACATGTCATGGTAATATGTCCAATTTATTCATAAACTCTGATGATATTATATCAGAGTTGAAAAAAATCACTAGAATAAGATCACACTTAACTATTTTAGCTGATAAAATGAGAATAATTTATTAATTACATAAAAATTATATATATATATATATATATAATGAATAATATTCATTTTATTTTATTTTATATCAAAATAATCAGTTAATCAAGCACACTTAATTGGAATAAATGCCAACCTTGCAAGGAGGTTAGGTCTCTATGCTTGCTACTTGTCACCTTATAGAAGGCCTACTTGCTACATATGCCAACATATTTAAATAGCTTTCTTGACTATATGAATATAGAAACTTACATGATGCAATCAATTATTGTTTTATAGGGAATAATAGAGGGAAGAGCTTGAAGGTCAAATTCAACTTTATCTAAGGTGCAATTTTAACTTTTATTAGTGGAAGCCAATATTTTTTTAATGAAGACAAGGTGTTGATCTTAATGTAATGACGAGCATTAGAGGTGACAGTGATGATGAGTTTTGAGATCATTGTTAGCAGATGTGCCGACCTTGTCAGCGATGGTGAAAACTAAGAGTTAACCCTATTCAAGAGAATGAATGTAGATCACTAACACAGTTAGCAACAGCCAGCATTGGCTTTATTATTAACAATAAATGTCAGTCTTATTAACAACTAATATTTTTAGAATGTTGACATAGAAATTTAAATTTTTAGAATCTCCTTTGATTCACTCCCACCCTTAGACATCATAACAATCTATTAGATGAGAGAGATTATTGCGTTCGGACACCTGAGACAAAATTTTATCAAGTGTCCAATTAAAATTGGTCACGCGGAAATGTGGGTCCCACTGAAATACACGGTTTTTGTTATTTTTAAAAAGAGTGAGACCCATCCTAACACTTATCTATTTTTAATCGGACACGAGACACAATAATTTTTCATTAGATGGTTCATTTCCCCCCCCTTGGTCATATAGTTCTTTTTTGAAATTTTAAAACCTTAATGAATTAAAAAATGAATGATTTTGAGTTCATTGAACCACTTATTATTATTATTATTATCATAATAAACACCAAAAATAAGATATCATACATATTAAGATGCTTTTGATATTTTTAAATTTGACTCACAAAATATTTGAGTAGAATATAAATTATTTAAAAGGGGTAATTTGTATTGTTGTGAGATATGTACTTCATGGCATAGAAATGAAATGCAAAGAACACATGCAAACACAGATCGTTTGCATGAATCGATCCAACTGGATATACGTCCACGGGAGGGAATCAATCAAATAGTTCACTATGACAAAAGAAATGGAGAATACATAGCTTATACATAGAGATGAACCCTCATCTTCCTTCTATGACCTCTCTCTCAAGCGACACCTTGATACAATGCCTCAAGATGCTCTCGTTCTCTCTAGCTCTCTAGTTATTCTCTCCTCCTTTGTGGTAGCTTAAGATCTCTTTCCTTGCTCTCCTAAGCCTCACACCCTCTCTATTTATAGAAGCAAGAGAGTGGTAGGTGAGCGGTATGTGAGATGTGGTAGGTGAGCGGTATCACATTACAAAAGTGTCATTTTACCTTAGTTCAATAATTGGGAGTCAAAATAACATGTATGGTCTCAAAGTTGATTTTGAAAGCTCTTGATTTGAACTTTTAGGCATATTAAACTCTGAAACTTACATTAAAAAAAAACACTTGGCTTAAATGAACATATATATATATCAAGACAATATTAAGAAAAAAGCGGGCATTTACATATTTACCACGCATTTCTTAAGTATTAACGTACCAACCACCCAAACTTCAATTTTTACCTATGTTTTGAGCATATGTTGGGTGATTTGTAGGTCAAAATTGAAGTTTAGGTGATTGATATGTAAATAAATAATAATTAGGTGGCAGGCATGTAAATCTCCAAAAAAAATATTACTGCAATGAATACAGACAAGGATTTATAAAGCCTTTTCCATATAGTTGGGAGAAGACTAAATGTGTTGAAGCACTCGTTCATCTTTCCTCACCCAAAAACATAAGAAGATAAAATAATAATACTAATAAGGAGCATTTACATAACTACAACCCAATTCATATAGATTTACATATCTAACACCTAAAATTTGCTTTTTTAACCTTTGAAAAGTGAAATACACTTTTTCATGCATGTTTGTATGTAAAAATTGAAGTATAGATGTTAGAGATGTAGATACATAAGAATTGAGTGGTATGTATGTAAATCTTCCTAACAATGAACCGCTTCATAAGCAAACAAAAGAAGCATGGCACAGAAAAAAGAGGAAAGGAGATTTACATGCAAACCATTAATTCCATATTTACATATCTAACACCAAAACTTCAATTTTTATACATGCAACCTTACCTATGCATGAAGAGGTATATTTATAAAGTTAAAATAATGACATTTTATGAAGTGAAATGAAAGATTTAGGTGGTAGAAATGCAAATACACATGAATTGGATGGTATGTAAATGAATGCTTTCACAAATTCTACACAAGTGATGACTGTATGTAACGTTTCCAACAGATATAACAGTTTCAAATTCAAAATATATGACCGTTACATCCTCCTTTATCCAACAAAACACAAACTAATACAACTCCATCAGTTAAAGAAAGTGTTCCAGCGCAAAGCAAATCTTATTGTAGCACAACAAAATTCTATTTTCCACTATTTCCATCTTCCATAACAGATGCAGACAGTAAAAGGAGTTAAAATCATGAATGAATCCGAATAATTACCATTCAAACCTCCCTCTGCAGCAATAAAGGCTCCTGAGTGGGGCCGGATTCATCACCGGTTCTCCGTCGCCATTGTTGTTGTGAAAAACCTCTCGGCCTTTGAGGTGATTGATCAGCTAACCTCGGACTGTTTCCTGGTAAGCTCGGCATTTCTTGTAAGCAAGCCCTTACAGCATCATGAACACTCACAAAATACCATCTTTTGCCTATTAGCTCTATCAGGCCGGCCCTCGAGAGTGTTTGGAGAACTTTACGGTTTGGGTTGGAAATAGCTATCTGAAACGCAAGGTTTTGTATAAGAAAATACTGTATGAGATTGTACCACCCAAATACCTATGTATTACATATCTGACACCTAAATTTTACATTTGCATTTATACCAGACAGATCATTCATATCACATGAAAAATGCCACTACATTAACTTTTTAAAAAATGCATTTTCATGCATTGGTGAGGTAGCATATATGTAAAGATTGAAGTTTTGGAGTTAGATATGTAAATATATAGGAATTGAGTGATATGTTTGGAAATCTTCCAATGAAATTCAAAACCTGAATTTCACGTGATTTGTATTCTTGATGCAAGTCCTTGAGGGCTTGAACTGCACTGGAGTCTATGTAGGGTATAGCTGCAGTGGATCAAAAGCTTTGTTAAAGAGAATTATGCAGGGAATTGGTTTGCGGCCAAAAATCGAGTATTTGAGAGTAAATGAATGAGGAAAAAATATAAATTGCATAAAAACACCAAGAGTTTTATATGGATTAATTGCATATATCTTTAACCTTTGTTAGGTATGACTCATATGTCAGATAGGGGACAGCATCTGTCCAATTGAGGGAGTTTCATTAAGTGGGTTGAGGGTGCGAGGGCAACGCCATACGATACAAGGAAATTATTAATTACACATTGCACACTAGGGTTATATATACATGTTGTATTTGCAACACTAAGGAGAAGTAATGTTTGCAAGAAATCAAACAACTGCCGCCACTCATTGCTCCCGAGGACATAAGCATATTGTCGAACCTCGTTAAATCCTTATGTTCATTCTTGAATGTTCTGCTGATTCTTTCGTTTCTTTACCCTAATTTCTTAACAACTTTCTTATTAATTTAGTATGACAAGTTTGTTCAGGAAAGTTGAGAAAGGAACTATACCGCAAGTCAATATGCACCATGACACTCCAAACTTCCATAAAAATAACAATTGCTTGATCAAATATGTAAGAGAAGTTTAGCTTCCAAACCTCATTAATAGAACTGGAACGAATTAAAGCTTAGAATCATCTGAAAATGATTTAAACACTTACGTGCCATCTCAATGATCACAAAATAAATTTTTTCATCAGCTGATCCATTCCAAGTCGAACCTGACACAACTAGTTCATACTGTCGAAGTCTGCACAAGAAAAAAAAAAATGATGCTGAAAAGTAGGTAATAAAATTTAGGGGTTAGATATGTAAATACACAAGAATTGGGTGCTATGTATGTAAATTCTCCTTGAAATTAAATCCTTTACCTGTCCTTGATATAACTTATGTTTGCAAAATACAAGGGAGCATCAATTCGGACAACAACGATTCCTATGTATACATAGGCTTCAGGATACTGCTCAATTGTTCTGTAAACTGTTGTTCCGGGCAGTCTTCCCAATACAGCTGCATCAAAGACATCAACTATAATTACAAAACTGACACTAGAGTAAGATTAAATGAGAAAAGATACTTAATTTCAACACAAATCTATGTTTTGAGTTTCAGAAATCAGACAAGAACTAATTTGAGTCACTGTGAGTGAATATAATAGAAGAGAAAAAAATAAAAAAGTTGGGGAATTTACATATATATTATTCAATTCCCATGAATTTACATATTTATCACCTACATTTTGTGTTTTGCAATTATATCCAATTAAAAAATACCACCTTTCATGCGTAGCTATTGAAGTTTAGGTGTTAGACATGTAAATACATAAGAATTGAGTGGTATGTATGCAAAACTTCCCAAAAAATCATGATAATTTAGCTCTAATCTTAAGAATTATTCAAGTAAAAGTAAAAAATAAGAATTATCTGATACAAACTAGAAATTTTAATATATGGTAATCATTTATCAAAGTGCATTAAACAAAATAAAAATCTCAGTTAGTGGTTTCAATTAAAGAAGTGTTCTCACCTATATGTGGATTGGCTGATTCATGAATGACAAATGCAAGAGAAGAACTAACCTGCAATAAAATTTTCAAATTGCTAAGACAACAGATATGTTACATAGAAAAAAGCTTAGGGTCAAGGTATCCTGACCGAAATTTCAACAGAATGGTTGTAAAGGAGCTGGATTTATTTTAAATGAGTACAATTTATAAGAAAATCTATTAAATTTATCCACTTATTTATTTTTTTTTTTTTTCTATAGCACAAGCTTGAGCTTGAATATCCTTAAAAGGATCTTAGCCTTTTTATACAATCTTACCCCAACAAGAACACCAATCTCTATCCCAAGAAATAAGGTCATAACACATGTTATGGTCCAAAGAAGGAAATCTTTCTTTTCTACACGCCACAAGAACATAGCTTCCTCATAATCCACCTGAAAATTTGAAATGTAAAAGAAGTGTTTTTTATTTGATGGAAAGGATTATCATGAGTAGAGAAAAATTTGTTATTGGAGTATCCAATACACAAATAAAGTCAGAATTAAGCTCAAAATAACATGAAGAAATGCATTAAAAAAAAGCAGCAGTAATTAGGAGCACCACCAAAGGACAAAGTGGAGCATGTATGGCTATCATATGGAAAAGAAACAGAACATCATCCTGATCCATGTTGAAGATCTACATAGACACCTTCCGTAGGAGGACAGAGGTGGTGAAGATATCATAAGGTTTTCTCCTTTTCAAATAAAGATGTGCTACTGATTTTGATTCCATAAAAGGAGAAGTTTTTACCATGATAGGGAGAAGCTCTCATTTGGATTTTTGTAACAAAGAATGGAAGAGAGTAATAACAACAACAAATAACATCTTCTCCATCTTCAATGCTCATCTTCACAAAATTTGTTAGTACTTCCCCCAATTCATTGTGATAAATAAAGTTGCATCTCTATCTTTATTACAAACATCGTAAGAATACAAATTCTTAATATACCCCTCTTTTAAAGCAAAGTGAATTATTCGATTTCTGTGTTTGTGTAGGCAAGCGTGGATCTCGCCGAGTCACATAACTCTTGCATGCATCTATGTTAGAGTATTTACTACATTTTATTCTTTAGCTTCATTTTTTTCTCATGACAGTTTTCTTGATTGGAACATAGCCATTCCTGATCTCAGCCCGGATGTGAAAAGTGGAGGGTTGCGTTAGGTAGTCGACAACCAGCGTAAAACTTGTCGAAAAATCATGACTGTTATCTTGATTGGACTCACTAATACTCAACATACAATGGCTTCGCTTTTGTGGGATATTTCTAGTAAATTATTTCCATGAATTTCAAGTCTTTGTAGAATCACCATGCATCAGTTTTATCAAACCATATTCACCCTTCATACCGTCTTTGTTTAGTCTGGAGCAAACCTTACTTTTCATTTCCAACATTAAATTTTTGTGTGTATTTCTGTATTCTGAAAACCAGGCCTCGTATGGCAGAGCCTTTCATCTTCAGTATATGAAACAGAAGTTCAACATGATGCCATGAGAGAAATCAGACCGTTAGTGATAAAAAAAATTAACCAAAATGCAAATATTTGCTTCCTCATGAAAGTTTAAGATTGCTAATAATAACCAAAATTAAAAATAGGAATAGACTAGTATAGTATTACAAGAATGTGCATCTGCTTTTGCTTTCTTACCAGGCTGATTCCAACTGAAATTACTATGGCGGCCAGAGCACACTGAGACATACAAATACACAAATTACAATGATGTATTTTATATTATTGAACATATCGAGAGAGGAAATTTGTTAAAAAAGGTACCTGAGGAATATCCTGAAACAATGGTGTCAAAAAGTAAAGAGCACAACCCATTGTTATTCCTGTTACGATTCCAGATAGTCCAGTCTGTGCTCCACTCTCATGGTTCACAGCTGACCTAGAGAAAGAGCCTATACATGACAATTACACTGTCTGAATTTTCTTAGAAAAAATGTACAAATGTTAGGAAACATCAAAAGAAAATCAAATTAATGGGCGATGTATGGTATTCAATTTTAGCCGGGATTTAAGCAAATTTTAACTTAAATCATGCCTATCTACTGTTTTTGTAAATCTCATTTCAAATCTGTCATTAGTTAATCTTGCTTAACGGTAACTATTTGAATATATACCTGTGGCAGGATAGGCAGAGAAGAATGAACCGCATATATTTGCCATTCCAAGACCAAAAAGCTGGAAATAGAATCAATATATCTCTAATTAAACTACAACGAACTAATTGAAGCACTAAAAAAATAGATGTCCAGTTGCAGACATAGTTATCCTCACCTCCTGATTTGAGTCCAACTCATATCCATTCTTCGCAGCCAATGCCTTGGCAATACCCACAGATTCCTGAAGTTGAAATAAGAAAATATATCAATATCTGGAAAATAAACAAAGCAATGAGGAGAATGAGTGCTTCAATAACCAGTTTACCAAAATGGCCACACCAGTAATTAGAACTGCAGTTGATATAAGGGACTCTGCATGATCAAATTCTCTGGGGATGTGAAACTTTGGAAGGCCTTGTGGAATTTCACCTACCTGAAGGGATCCATCAAAAAAGAGTACTTTCCTTTTCAAAAAAATGCCTTTGAAAACCTCCTTTTAGGAAAAAAATCATTAAAATGCTGGTTGAAAAATAGCTTTAAAAAACAAAAATAGGAACGAAGCCTTGAGTCTATTCAATCAAATAAATCAAGTCAATAGTACCACATTAGACTACAAAGCTCCCTAATAACTCTATCTTCTCAGGAGATACAAGATTAATAATGCCTGGCTTCACAATATGAAGCAAACAAATTACTAATGACAAAATTTATCATAAGAGATATGTAAACTGTTGATTATTGAAACTAAATAACCCTTACCACTGTAATTGAAGGTGGATGAAATATTTTAACAAAAGCTGTGCCCAGAATGACTGCTGTGAGCGGACCTGATGCTCTTAGAAATCTCAGGTTCTTCTTTGAACTCCCCTGTGTAATTTATCGAGTAAAATAAATTAAATTATGCCACCACAAAACAATGCTTCAACTTCCATCAATGAGCTCCTACCAGGTGTTTCATGAGAAGAATGATTGCAAGAATGATAGATCCCATCAAAAAAGGGGGCCATGAGAACTACAAAAAACTATCCCATATTATTAGTGAACATAGATGTCTTGGCATGTTACTAATTCCATACTCTATCAGAAATATATATATATATATATATATATATATATATATATATATATATAAAGACGCATAAGCAATGCATAAGAAGGAATAAAAATAAGAAAAATAATAAAAAAAAAGAAGCACAACCAGGGGCATGAGTTCTCCCATGCCAGTTCTGGAGCATTTGAATGTTTTCTATTTTTTGACTTGAATCCTTAACCTCAATGAAGGGTGAATACTTCCATCAATTTTAATTTGGTGTCGGAATAAGAGATGTTCATTATTAAATTTTCTAAGGAAAATATTTGAGTTGACCAAGTCGGATTTATCTTTGAGGTAGAAGTACAAATTTACTGATAAAATTGTTCCGTTCTATGAATTGATGACAAATTTTAAATGTCTGTGATAAATTTAGGAATGATGGAGTGAAACCATTTTATTATAAAGGTCGAGGGAGTAGAAATTATTGAGGACAATGTTATCAAAGATAGACTTAATTTGGGTACGCACAAAGGAAAGCAAAAAAAAAATTACCAAGTGTGAAAAAGTCAATGTGCATGACATTATAGAAGTGAAAAAAAGTTAATGACTAAAAATTATGAATAAATACTTGCCATAGTTAACACCACATGTAATTCATAAACTAGATCTTAAATGGTTAAGTCGAAGAAGATAATGATATTGTTATAGGTTAAAATGAAAAAAGAAACTAAAGAAAGTTGGACAACTGACAAACAACTGACAAACAACATCCTCCTCACATTACAAAAAACAACAATATATTGTTCTATGAGTACATCAATACCCTTTAACTAACACATGAAACCAAAATCAGCAAACGCATTTCCTCTCTCTCTTTCTCTCTCTCTCTAACATATTATTCGGTGTCTCAGGTTCCTTAGGGGGTTGGCAGCTTTAAAGATGCATGCGAGGAAAAAGCATCATGCCAAGCTAATCTCTCTTGCAAAAGTTTCTTCGAATTCTTCATTCTGATCTTGATTGAAGTTAAGCCTTTTAAAGAGCTGTTGATAGCTCTTCCATTGTGCACACGAATTTGTAGCTTATTGAAGGTTGAATAAATTTTCTCTCCTCTTACTTGAATCTTAGTGGATTGAAGTTGAAAAAGAAAATCTGTCTCTGCTTTGTTTGTTGTTTGATCACTTTTTTACTTAGTAACAAATCAAGAGGAAGATGACCCTTAAGAAAATGGTCAACCTATAGAGACAAACATTACAATGAAATATTAATATGATGAAGAAGAAAATTTACATTTTAAAGTTTTGATGAAAAGCCTTTGGAGCATTGGAATTTATTGTGGCATTGTATCAAGGGGAGAATTGTTAATATTGACTAAATAAAGAAACATTTTAGATATTTTTTTCTTGATTGGATCTCATTAAATGACTATGATTGTACACTTTGATTTGAATATATAGTTGTATTAAAATTCACAGTTAGCCATACAAGTTTGGTATCATTGTCTTGGTAATTGGTTCAATCTCGGGAATCATGAAATTCCCTCCTTGATTGGAATGCACAAACGATTACAAAGGGTTTGAGTAATGAATCTCTCTCTCACTCTCATCCTTATTGACATGTTCGTTTGATGACCAAGGTTTCATTGAGAAATGACTCTTCTATGATGCTTGTAAGGAGAAGGAAATCATGTTAGAATAATCTCTCCTATGAGAGTTCACTGGGGTTCTTTATTTTTAGTGTGGGTACAAGTAGGTTTCGTGAAGGCTTGACAAGAAATTCTTCCTCTGCACGCACCAATTTGTAACTTCTTTAATTAGTATTAGTCTATAGAATTCTCTCTTCTCTTAAGTGAATGTGTTTGATTGAACCCAGGGGTGTAAATGAATTGAGCTTGAATGAGCCAAGTGCTTGTTTATATTTGGGCAGTTCGATTTTTTTTTTTCAAAATGGGCTAGTACTCGAAATTGCTTGTGAATAACATGTTCATATTCAGTTTAATGTGAAGTCATTTGTTAGTTTTCATCTTGTGTCGACTCAAATTCAACTAGAATAATTTAAAAAAAAATAAAATTTAACATTTTTTAAGTATAACAAAAAAATCAATATAAAAATGTTATAATAATATTATCTATTTAATTATTCAATTAATTTGAGCCAAACATGATCAAATAAAGGTCAGTTCATGATTGGCTAGTTTATAAATCAAGCTCAAGAAAACTGTTTGTATTCAACTCGCTTACTTAATGAACAAACAGAGCACATGCTGCTTAGCAAGTTGAACACGAGCTAATCACAAACAAGCTTTCTTGATAGCTCTAGTTGAAACACATAAATCTCGGTATCTTCATTTTGTGCATTGGTTGATCCATTTATATGCTTTACATTGTGGTGCATTGTACTTCTCTTCTAGTGATGTTTTTGCATTAAACTTGTCACAACCTTGCTACAGCAGAGAAAGAATAATGGCCTTCTTTCATAACACAAAAATTTACAAAATCATTAACGACATAAAACTTTTCATTTACAGCCTATGTTCAGATGACTGGCTTCTCCTTAATGTAAACTGAAGCCATTAAAAAAAATTGCATTTTCTAGCAGGCTGAAAAATCATATGCAGAACTTTTATAAATAAAAACAGGATTTGTTGTAAACAAGAATGTGAAGGACTTACATTTCCAACACCATCAATAATGCTTTTAGCAAGTGGTACGATTTGACTGCTTCTTTCTATGTTATAGCCCAAGAAGTACTTAGCTTGGGACAATGCAATAATTATAGCTGAAGAAGTTAAGAAACCAGAAATTACAGAATGGCTGATAAAACGCAGAAGCCATCCCAGCCTATACAAAACAAAATAAAATAAGGAAAAAATTTAAAAAGATAAAATAAATTACCAATAAAATTTATTTTAAAAAAAAGTTCAATACCTCAGCAGGCCCATTGTACACTCCAAAACACCAACCATAAATGCCAGCAATATAGCTAGCTCTGTATAGAGCTCCTCTTTAGGGGAAACAATGCTGCTCAACACATTGGAAACCAACAAGGATACCAATGTCACAGGACCAATAGCAAGCTGGCGAGATGAACCAAATATACCATATACAAATATGGGAATGAAACCAGAATCTGCATTACAAAAGCCTGTGAATTCATGAAAGTAGAAAGAAGGCAACGAAAGTCATATGGGAAAGTTTATGGAAACGAGAACACTCACAAAGCCCATAAATTGGATGGAGCCCCGCCAGCTTTGCATAAGACATCGCCTGCCATTCATGTTTATCTTTTAGATCAACATAACCATCATGGAAAGTTATAAATCATTCATGGGCTCATGAGAGGGGGAAACAAATATAAAGTATAAACAAATAGACATGAAATGCAAGCATAGAAGAACAACAATGATCACAGCAATCTATCCTTCCCAAACGGGGGCATCATCTATCAATTTAGGTGCCCTTACACTCCTAAGCAAAATCAAAACTTCGCTAGCTCATCAAAACAGTTTACATCCTCTCACTTGACTAGAAAGCTCTAGATCACTCCTTGCCAATGAAAATCGACTAATTATAAGTAACATTATTTATAAAATGATAAACTTACATTGGGTTGGTTTGACTTCAAGAAGAATTGGGTGTAAACGAGCCGAAAATGAGCAAGCTTGAAGCTTGTTCGTGTTCGGCTAGTTAAAATTTTTTTTTTGGTTTGAAATGAGCTCATGTTCGACATAGCTTGTAACTAGCCAATGTTGACCTCATTTTAGTGAGGTCTTAGCCTCCTAATCTTAGAACCTAGGATCTAGCCTTAGGAGTTCCTGGTTGACCATCCTAGCGGACTAGTAATGGAGCCCACCTCCCATAGAACTTCAAACCGCTTCTTTACTCATTTTTGTGAAAACTCGCACGAGTGGTCCCAAGCACTCAATTTCTAGTTGCAAGGGCTAAGGACCAACATGCAGAGGGTCTGAAAATGAGTTCTTATAGGATCGAACGACCTTAGGTTAACCCTCGGTGACTCAGCAACGCACTTGTTGCATCACACGCAATTTTGGCTTAAATTGACTCGCCCGCCGGCAAACTCGTCCGGACGACCCCGGATGACGAAACGGACTGCGCCGACGCGTCCGGAACGTCGATTTTAGCTAGAAAAGACACCCATATTGCTGTGGTTCCACACTCGCGCGAACTGCACGGAAATCGATGCATTTTTTTACGTGCGCAGGACAGGCTCAACCCAAGTCCGAGTCGGACCCGATTTGGGCTAGACACCTGCTCACAGATTTTTGAATTTCAAATTTCGAATTCAGGCGGACTATTTAAAACTCATATTAATAAAGAATATATGAATGTTATTATTTTCCAATTTAATCCTTTGCAGGAAAGGAAACCATTAATTTCCCCGCCAATATTGTCCTGTAACGGCTCTTTCTCCAGCAGGGCCTATTTCTTTCTCGCTCACGAGAGCCTCGGGTGGCCGCTTCCAATTCGAACGAAATCGCTGCTCGTCCCTGTTCGCCCCTCCCGCTCGTCTACTCCTTGCCTCCGTCTCCCGCATCGACGAAGTTGCTATATCGCCTCAAGCCCGTCTCCCGCACCGAACCGAAGCTGCCTCGCCTCTCCCTCGACCGAAGACCACTGCTCGCTCGATCCCGC